CGTAAGCAGCTTTAGATGCCAGATCTTCTACAGGCAGGTTAGAGATCGCTCCTTCTACTGCGGAGAGAGAGAGAGAGAGAGAGAGAGAGAGATGTTTAGTGAACAATCAGCTGACAAACAACAATAACAACAAATTATTTAACACAACGAATCGATACCCCTGGACAGAGGCTAGCAGTTTCCTCCTGTTTCCAGTCTGTGTTAACAAGTTTTAAACTGTGAGCTGAGACTTAAAAAGAATCCAAACATGCATTAAGTAGAGTTAATCTCAGGTGTTGTACCTGAGGGGGAGGAGTCAGCGGGGGGGCGGCTGCTCTCATACTGACACTGAGGGCTGATTCCCAGAGTCTGAGACCAGAGAGGAGCGGTGAGGAAACGCTTACCCCGAGGAATTAACTCCTGACCGGACACCTGCACACACACACACACACACACACACACACACACACACACACACACACACACACACACACACACACACACACACACCACACACACACACACACACACACACACACACACACCACACACACACACACACACACACACACACACACACACACACACACACACACACACACACACACACACACACACACACACACACACACACACACACACACACACTGTGTCAATGATTGCTGGATACATGATTTTATATATCTGAGACCCATAATATATGCCTAAAAAGATCATATTTTATGTATAAAAGACATCAAAAAGTGCATTTCGCATGATAGGAGACCTTAAAGGAACCAATGATCAGTCAGTATGTCTCACCATGCTGCTCTGAAGGCCTTTATACTTCAGACTCCCATTGGCCAGGAAGCTGTACAACGGACTCCGTGGTGTCGAGTTAAAATCCCCACACAGAACCACTGGATTGGTCGATCCGTCCGGGAGGCGGGACAACCGGTTTATCTCGGCCAATAGGATGGCCAGCTGGGCCAGTTTGATGTCTCCCCGGCGAGGGTTGTAGAGCAGGTGAGTGTTGGCCACGCAGATGAAGGAGGAGGCATCTGATTGGCTGCGGGCGTCTTTAGGTCGCAGCAGTAGGACCAATCCCACGTTGTCTCGGTCCAAGAGGGCGTCGCCACGTTGGAAGTACTCCACGGGATTGGACGAGAGGAGAGAGAGGCGGGAGGATTTAAAGATGACCGCGCAACCGTCGGGTTTACTTCCTGTTCGCTTCTTGAACTCACACTGGTAACCTGAAAAACACACACACACACACACACACACACACACACGTCAATATGAACACAAGGAGAAAACATAAGACATATAAATAAGTGTTGCATTTCACAATAAAAGCATTTATTAATACATTTGTGTGTCTTAAATATGTTCTGGGTTTACATCCACTCAAACACCCTCATTCACACACACACCCCTCATTCACACACACACACACACACACACACACACACACACACACACACACACACACACACACACACACACCCACCCACCCACCCAGTGCCTGTAGAGCTGGTTTGATCTGCTCTACATAATGATCCTCCTGGACTTCTTGAAGGCACAGGATCTAAAAGACAGAGTGAACTTTAACAGTCTGAACAGGTCGAGAGCGTGCACATAACTCAGTGTACTTTGGCTAAGATGATCTGTTTGGTATTTTGAGCAAAACACATCATGTTTTGTATATATCTGTATATATCTGATACATGCCTAAAAACAGCGTGATAGCGACCTTTAACGTGTGTCTAACTCACGTCAGCGTCGTGCTGCTGGATCTCTGCCAGCAGGTTGGGCAGCCTGTAGTCCCAGCTCAGCACCGCGGGGGGGCAGTGGCGGTACAGGTAGATGTTTTCCTGCAGCAGCTGCTGGGACAGGATGTTGTAGGACATCACGGAGAAGTCAAACTCTGCGCTGCTCCCTGGTGGACGGGGTTCAGTACTGCAGGGAGGAGAGGAGGACTGCCAGTGTCTCTGCAGAGCTGAGCATTTATACAAGAGTTTGTCCATTTTAGCACAAATTATTTAATGATAAACTAGTATAGAAATCTACTTAACACGTTGTATACATTTGTGGACATGTTTCCGATAATAAAATGTACAAAAACTGATATTCTGCTCTGAAAATGGTCGACTTTTATCTTAGAAATCACTTTCTAACCCCACCACTTTCTATTCAACCAATTATTTCCCTCCATGTTCAAAAGTCTGAGAGCCTTATTTCATCAAATGTATTAAAAAACCAATACTCTGCAGATCTGAGGACAGACGGAAGAGGCTGGGTTGATACAGCTCCTTAACTAAAACTATTTCACGACAAACTAGTATCAAAAGCTCCGTAATAGTGCTGCACAATTAATCAAACTTCTCATACATTTGTGGGCATTTTTATCCAATAATAAAATGTACAAACAAACTAAGACTTAATAGAAAAACAATAGACATTCTGCTCTGAAGAAATGGTCGGGTTTCTCTTATCTAATCTAGTTTTGATGCGTTTCCTCGGGAGAACAGCAGCTGGTATCGTGAGTGACGCCTTTTCATAGGTTTGAACATAAGTACAGAATATAAATATGTTATTATATTATTATTAAGCAGAGCTGGAAGGCATTGGAAACAGATGGATGTGCACCGAACACATCTCAACTCAGACTTTAGAGTAAAACTGCAGTCAACGAGATAAAAAACCTCCTTAAATAGAACTCACGTCTCCCTGGTTTCCCCGGCCACTGGCTTTGGGGCGCGCTGCTGGGATGATGGGAGTGAGGCTCCTCCCCCCTCTCTTTGAACCAGGCGTTTGCTTTGGGTGTGGAGACGTGATCCTGTTCAGGTTTTGACTTCAGGGTGCTCTGAATCCTGGAGCTCGACGGACTCCTCCCCTCGTTAGCAGTCTCATCTCGACTGCTATCACTCGGTCTGTCTTTACTGCAACTCTTAGTCCTTTCTCCGTCTCCGTCCTCCCGGCTTCTGCCTCCGTCTCCGTGGTTCGACCGAGGGTCTCTGTAGGAGTCCGGGTGATATTTGGATCCTCGATCTCGGTTCGACGCTCCTTTTTGTTCCCGTTCCTCCTTCTCCGCACTCTTCTGTCGCTTGTGAGGAGGCTCTCGGTCCGACTGCTCCATCAGGAGGCCGGCGGACGCGGAGAAGGAGCGGCTTCCTCTGAAGTTTGAAGCGTCGGTGACGCTCCGAGGAGGAAACGTCCTGCAGGAGGAGAAGTGACAGGATGGAGGAGGAGGACGAGGAGGAAACTGGGCCGACCACCATGGAGGAGGAGCGGGGCGGAAGTGGAAGTGGGAGGAAGAGGAGGAGGAGGAGGTGTAGCTGCTTCTGAAGAGAGGGGGAGGTCTGAGGGGGAGGAAGGCGGGGATCAGCTGGCGAAAGAACATGGAGCTGGGGGAGGAGAGGGAGATTTGAGAGGTGAGGAAACACGTCATTAAAGGTGGGGTAGGTGAGTTTGAGAAACCGGCTCGAGAAACACTTTGTTATATTTCATGGAATGCTCTTAACATCCGATAGCATGAAGTGCTTTGACAACAAATCCATAAAACATATCATCTGTGGAAGCCGTGGCGCTGTAAAAAGCTCGACCAATCATCTGAGCCGGCTAAAGTAACTGGATGGCCTACCTGCCTGTCAGCCTTCCATCTGGGCACAAACTCATCTCTGCCCTCATTGGTCATGAGCGTGTTCGTGTGTTGGAGGAGGGGCTCTGTGAGGAAGGGGCAGATTTCTTCCGGTTGTGTATTTTCTAATTCTACTCGAGCTGCTTTCTCCAGAAAGACCTTTAAGTACTTTATAAAACGTGGATCAAGAGAAAAAAGTAATAAATAATCGTTCCAGTTTTCTAATAAACGGCCAAATATGACGTGGAGACGGCGCCTGAGCTGTGAGGTCAGCTGTGAGGTCAGCTGTGAGGTCAGCTGTGAGGTCAGCTGTGAGGTCAGCTGTGAGGTCAGCTGTGAGGTCAGCAGTGAGGTCAGCTGTGAGGTCAGCTGTGAGGTCAGCTGTGAGGTCAGCTGTGAGGTCAGCTGTGAGGTCAGCTGTGAGGTCACCTGTGAGGTCACCTGTGAGGTCAGCAGTGAGGTCAGCTGTGAGGTCAGCAGTGAGGTCAGCTGTGAGGTCAGCTGTGAGGTCAGCTGTGAGGTCAGCTGTGAGGTCACCTGTGAGGTCAGCAGTGAGGTCAGCTGTGAGGTCAGCAGTGAGGTCAGCTGTGAGGTCAGCTGTGAGGTCAGCTGTGAGGTCAGCTGTGAGGTCAGCTGTGAGGTCAGCTGTTAGTAGTCCTGCTGCCTGACAGTGATAGCACATGCGTTTGCACTGAGCCTGTTCAGAAACACCATATTCATTTATCTATCAGTCAGTTACTGATGGAAGTTGGAACCGTTAAAGATAGTTAGATAAAGAAATGTATATAATAAAATAACATGTCAAGATAGTAGTGGATACGTTTTCTGTCAGTTTACATGTAGATTAGTCGCTTAGTCGTTTCAGCTCGACTTCGTTGGACTAAACCAGATATTAGAAAACATCATTTTGATTTAAGGAAACAGGGAAATATCGTCCTCGGCAGACGGTTGTGTATTTGAGATAATCACGCTGTCAGCTAAAGATTAGAGAAGATTAGAGTGATGCCTTTTACCAACATTTAGGGCTACGACTAATAATCATGTTATATTATCTTCCATCAAGTCAGTTATCTTCAAGATGAACCAATGATGTGTTTGTAAATCATAAAACATTACCTCACTTATTCAGCTGGTCAAAGAGAACACCCTCACAATCAGAGCACCACGGTGCACACACACACACACACACACACACACACACACACACACACACACACACACACACACACACACACACACACACACACACACACACACACACAACACACCACACACACACACACACACACACACACACACACACACACACACACACACACACACACACACACACACACACACACACACACACACACACACACACACACACACACACACACACACACACACACACACACACACACACACACACACACACACACACACACACACACACAGAGCAGAGCAGAGAGGAACAACAGAGCTGACGTCTTTTGTTTACATTGCTCTCTGTCAGATTGTGATGTTTGCATTTGTTCGTAAGTGTATGGTTGTTATTCTATATGTATACACGTGTCTTTGATTGTGTTTATATATATATATAGGTATATACATATTTGCATACATATATTTATATATATTTGTATTTTTGTATTCGGGATTGTGAGAAACGGTATTTGGGTCTCTGTCTGTACACACAGACTGAAAGAGTGACAATAAAGTTGACTTTGACTTTTGAGTACACTTGTAAGTGTTTATATGTGTTTATATGTGTTTATTGCAATCAGGCTCTTCTGTGCTGCTACCCTTCCCTTCAGGTACAATCTGACAACTACTTTAATCAATCATACATATTGTGTTTCACATTTGATTGCCTCAAGGCCTGATCATATCCTCCACAGCAGGCAAATACAAACTACTGATGGACTTAGTATCTTCCTTTCATGTAAGTTAGGATGACAGCTAGCAGCCACAAGGAGCTATATGACTCCACAGGATGTATTGCTTTTCTTAATGATATGAAATTAAACCAATAAGTGGAAAACTTTGACACATTTCTAAACAGCTTAATTCCTGAGTGACCACTTATTATTGTGTCTGTCTTCTGTGCATAATGCCCTCGGTTGTTGTGTGTCTTGTTGTGATGTATTGGATTCATTATTCAATAAAGTTGGTACAAAAAAAATAAAATGTTTCTTTAGCTAGGTGCTGCTAATGTTTCTTTAGCTAGGTGCTGCTAATGTTTCTTTAGCTAGGTGCTGCTAATGTTTCTTTAGCTAGGTGCTGCTAATGTTTCTTTTGACATCACAACAATCTAACGGGTGTCAAATTTGAATTCCTATACTTCATTGTAGCCAAAATGTACATTAAAAGCCCAAGATAATGTAACATGAACAATACATAGAGTAAATGTTAGCTTATTTTGAACCTCATTGATTATAAAGGCGACTCATATAATGTCTTTATTTTTAAGCCCTGACTCGTTAGCTCACGTTTACTCACTTATCTTCGGAGGGGGGACCGGCATCGTTTATGTTTCGGCTTGGATGCATTTCAATAAGCGATTAAAATCACATATTATCGATATTTTTTTTGGTTTTATCTGTATTCAAAACAAGCAGCAGAGTCGCCAACATTTGACGCAACGGAAAACGTTCCACTAAGCGAGGCGAATCCCGTGCTGCCTTCAAGTACTCCGGTTAAACTCGGATCTTTCAATTGTATAATAAAAATATATACATTATTTGAAACTGGACGGTTGATTTAACACCTCCCCTGAAATACAGATACATATATATGCATATTATTATATAAACAGGATTCACTGACTGATAGCTTTGTTATAGATGGTTTAAACGAAAAGGATACACGGAAAAGCAACGGTTGCATTTAGAAACTAAGAAAAACAACGGAAATATTGATTTTTGTTTTCATTTTGTCCTTCTGCTAGTTATATAAACACAAATAAATCCACTAACAGACGTTTCAATTATGAAAGAACCGTATATTTTAATTATTTAGACTGTTTGTGTCGTGTCTGGAGATAATTCCATCATTTCAGAGAGCCTTTAAATGGAGCTTCAATGTCACCTTTTTGCTGGGACTTGTAGTCTTTTGGTCCTTTCTCTAGAATGGAACGCTATGATAGGATTCAGTTGAACGGACTACAGCTCCGTATTATAGCGGAAATAGAGGAAAGACTGGATTCGTATCCCATCTATTCTTTCTTTTATCGGGAGCATCCGTAATGTCGATTCATTTACGTAGTCATCAGTATTCGCAACGGCTAAACTGTTTTTATATTGTATAATAGATAAATATTTAGTAGGCTATGTTGTTAAAGAGAACATTTAAAGGTCATCGTACTTACGTAAAATCGAGCCGCTAGTTGAATACGAAGAAAAAGATGCCGGTAAAATCGGCTTCAAAAGATAAAATGTCAGCTTCCTGTGTGTGACATGTTCTGTTATTCCATGTTAATGAATCCCATACAAAGCTTTAAAGTACGGATTAGCAAGGATTGATTAAGAGCACTGTTCTGTGAGAAGAGGGGAGTCAGCACATCATCTCCCTCTCTCTCTCGCTCTGTCTGTGTGTGTGTGTGTGTGTGTGTGTGTGTGTGTGTGTGTGTGTGTGTGTGTGTGTGTGTGTGTGTGTGTGTGTGTGTGTGTGTGTGTGTGTGTGTGTGTGTGTGTGCAGCAGCAACATGAAACATCTTATTTCCCTCTTTAGACTCATGTTCTGACCCAAAGCTCTTTGCATTGCTGAACCACCGAGATGTTTTTATCCTAATGTAAATAAATACTCATACATCCCAATAGCAATGTGAAAATAAAGAGCCTGCTTTCAGCCCCTTCTTTATGAGCAAAGTGATGGTGATTAGAGGAGATTTTTATGTTTTGTGATATGTGGTTTCCATCACAAGGATCATCTACTGATTTTATTTACCTCTGCCCTCTACCTGTGCTTTGGGAGAAGTACAAGAGTTAAACTGTTATTAATATTTCAAGTTTTGTTCAAGTTCTGTACATTCAAACAATGCTTCTCTAATATGTATGCAAAGAAAACAAGGCAACTACATACAACAATCGAAGACAAGTTTAAAATACAAATACAATAACATAGATTTTTGCCAAACAGAAATGTATATAAATACGCTGGATAGAGTAAATGTACATGCACAATAAGAAGTAAGACAGCTATTAACACAGAGGTGTACCTTGGTCAATTTCAAACAAATGTAAGTAAAGTATAAAAGCACTTTTGATGATAATAGATACATTTATGGTATAGCTGTAGTAATATCAGCAGTTACATACGTTTATTAAACCAGTTCCATCATTGGTAATAGTACTACTGATGGTAGTTGTAGTAATATTAGTACTGAATGTGGTACTGAATAGTATGCATGTTGTCGACTTGAGTACTGCAGCTGAAGTATTTGTTGTATACAGAGCATTGGTAGCAATAGCATTAGTTTGTGTTAAATTAACACCTCAAATAAGTGTTATTATTATATATTACTGCAACATAACTTTCGTTTTTTGATCTGAAATGTTGCGTAGGTCTATAAAATCTTTACCTTGCGTGTAAACATTCACAGCCATTTCAATAAAATACGAGCAGCCATTATAAAAGCTTTATTCAGGAGTCAAACGGATATCAAAATGATGCAGTGGATGATATCAAACACAGGAAAAACCTTTCCAACGTTAGAAATCCATCATTTGAAAAAACCGGACTTGCAAAATGATTGTTTAGAGATGGGAGAAATGTTTGGGTCTTTCGTTAACTTGACTCTGTTGGAATTTGAAATGAAAAACCACAGAAGAAGTCACGTGACTGCAGGGTCACAGTTTGACTCGTCAGCAGCTGCAGTTCCTCCGTCAACAGTCAGAGGGAACAGAAATATCTCTATTCGGAAAAAGCATCAAGAGTGGACACTTCTTCCTGAAAGTCACCTGTAAATCCTTAAATAATCATGAGTTTAGAGACTGAAGAAACAGTGTGAGTAAAGCTTCTCCCCCAGTTTCATAAAGTGGAAAGAAAAGTGCAGAAAAATGTTCCCATGCACAGCGAGGAGCTGCAGACATGCTGCTCTCTTTCCCACATCGTCCTCCTTATTGTGCCTTTATTTACACTCGTAGCCCTTTTTCTGTCCGTGTTTCTGCTCATGTTCTGTATCAACTTGTTCTTAAGAACCAGTTGTTGTGCTCATGTCTCCTTTGTGTGTGTTTCCTTCTCCTCCTCCATGCTCTAGCTTTCTACTTCTGCAATCAAACATAGGCCTACTGATAAATACGGTGGCCGCCAACGTGGTCCACAACGTTTCCATAAGGAGAAACGTGCTGCAACTTCAGAAACGATAGAAACACTAATGTGCCAAAGTCCCCTGGTTGTCGTTGTGTTTTGAGCGTCTAGCTTTTATCCAACGCTTTTTGTAAACGTTGAGTCGGTGAAGAAGTTACTTCATTCACTTTATGTTTGCATCGTTTCTGAAGTTGCACAGGTTTCTCCTAATGGAAATGTGTTGGTCTGTTGTTGCGCGTGTGCACCTGTCCGACACCGTATGTACAGGAAAGGAAGCTGCAGTATAGAAACTGGGACATTATGGTCAAATAAACATCCAAAATGCATCAAACATCTCCTCCACCTTGCATACTTCAGAAGGGTAAAGAGCAGGGGAATCCATTTCATATTAAGAGCATTATATAAACTACCCCACTAAATATTGAGTTCTTAACAATAACGTATTTTTTGGTTCTGTCAGGCTTATATTCTCTCTCCATCTCCCAAAGCAGGGTTACTCATTTATCTTGAAGTTGATGGTGAGACAGTGATCAGTTTGGTTGGAAACAGGATAGTGTGGAGGCTATTTGTATATAACTATAGAAAGACTGCATCATATTATTACACTATAAGCTTATTGTGCTCATTTATGTGGCTGTGACTTTGGAATAAATAGACCCAATCACCCCCCCCCCCCCCCCCCCAAGTTGTGATGGGGAGGATAGGAACGAAGGGAAAAGTCACACAAGAAAGTGTTTAGCTTGCAATATTGAAAGTAGCAAGGTCAGGTGCAGAGACTGAGAGAACACAAAGAGGTAGTCAGAACAGCACATCGCACCGGCCTTGAGTTGTATGGGACCCGCTCTCCCACGCAGAGCTAGGAAGCCACTATATCTGAAGACACGTTAGCGAAAACAAATTACGTATGATGGTGCCAGAGTAGGGAGGGACTTCCACAGGCCGGCCGAATGCTGATTGGAGGATCGTGTTGCCAAGAGACTCTATCTGAGTCTGCGCACCAACCAAAGAGAACCAAGTCTAAACCGTGGTATCTCTTCAGCTAGTCTTGACCAATCATAAATGTACGGTCAACGCCCTTTGTAATAAGATGTATTGTCGCACGAGGTTCGAGGCTCTTTACGGAAATAGACTGCCAGATTTCAGCTTTGCTGTCTGTGAATTCTATGACGTGACAGAGTCCTTGGCCAAGTGATACAGTATATATATTTTGCTCTCTCATAATAAATAGTTAAACTTAGAAGTCGTCTGTCTTTCCTGGAATTTTGAACACAACAATAGTATTCTCTTCATCAAGTCTAGAGTCACGGAACTGAGATGCTAGTGGTTATAGGAACTGTTTTTATAAATTTAGAACAAGAACAGACATTCTGTTCACTTATTTCTGGTCAGGTCCCATGACACATGTATATTTTATTTGACAATCCTTTCTGGATGCTTGTAGAGTGGTGCAGGAATGAGTCCTGCCCAGTTGCTAACAAGTGTCTAAATGAGACGACTAAACGTCATCCCGCCCAACGTTAGCCTCCTTTAGCTTAGCGGTGGTGACGTGAAGTCATGTGACCGTGCTGTAGTTCCTTTATAGCCCAACATCAGCCACCTTTAGCTTAGCGGTGGTGACGTGAAGTCATGTGACCGTGCTGTAGTTCCTTTATAGCCCAACATCAGCCACCTTTAGCTTAGCGGTGGTGACGTGAAGTCATGTGACCGTGCTGTAGTTCCTTTATAGCCCAACATCAGCCACCTTTAGCTTAGCGGTGGTGACGTGAAGTCATGTGACCGTGCTGTAGTTCCTTTATAGCCCAACATTAGCCTCCTTTAGCTTAGCGGTGGTGACGTGAAGTCATGTGACCGTGCTGTAGTTCCTTTATAGCCCAACATTAGCCTCCTTTAGCTTAGCGGTGGTGACGTGAAGTCATGTGACCGTGCTGTAGTTCCTTTATAGCCCAACATTAGCCTCCTTTAGCTTAGCGGTGGTGACGTGAAGTCATGTGACCTTGCTGTAGTTTAGCTTAGCGGTGGTGACGTGAAGTCATGTGACCGTGCTGTAGTTCCTTTATAGCCCAACATTAGCCTCCTTTAGCTTAGCGGTGGTGACGTGAAGTCATGTGACCTTGCTGTAGTTTAGCTTAGCGGTGGTGACGTGAAGTCATGTGACCATGCTGTAGTTCCTTTACAGCCCAACATTAGCCACCTTTAGCTTAGCGGTGGTGACGTGAAGTCATGTGACCGTGCTGTAGTTCCTTTATAGCCCAACATTAGCCTCCTTTAGCTTAGCTGTGGTGTCGTGAAGTCATGTGACCGTGCTGTAGTTCCTTTATAGCCCAACATTAGCCACCTTTAGCTTAGCGGTGGAGACGTGAAGTCATGTGACCGCGCTGTAGTTCCTTTATAGCCCAACATTAGCTTCTTACTTCAGAAATCATAAAGTGATGTTAATATGTGGAGATTATCCTGCTGATCCAAATGTGTAAGTATCATAAAAGTTTGTTTGACACAGAGATTATTTTCTCAAATATTTCAAAATCCAATAGAGGAATCAGATAGCGTTTTGTGGAGGGAGGTTATGATGCTAACTTCCTGTCATCCCTGCACCACTGCAGTTTAAATAAGGCCTTGAAGTAAATTATAAGCTTGTTTTGTGCTTGGTTTTACTTCCCAGATTCTTGAAAACATACACTTTCATAGCAAAATATTACAAGACACATTCTCTAATAGTTTCTTTATATCTTTGACGGATCGTTTTTTTTTGAAGGTGCACTTGGTTCATTTCGTCCCCTAAAACTTCTTCTCAGCCTCAAACATTCACACTTTATTCTCCGGACAAAACAAACCGGACATTTCTGATTTATTTAACAATGTTTTGATCCAGAACAGATCTTCAATAAACCCAGATTTCAGACCCAACAGATCCTCTCTTCAATGTCTCCCCATGACACACAGTGAAGAGGCGTCACAAAGTCATAACAAACCCTCCGTTTATCTTCCGTCACTTCATCCTGACGTGCTCATGCTTCCTCCCTGCGTCAGAGCGTCCTCTCTGCTACTATTTGAGGCTGTGGGTGAGTGACAGGGCAGGTGTTTTGGGGGTGAAAGGTGTTCAGGGGGTTAAAGGTCAGGAGAAAGGCACCTCCCATCTCTGTGTGTAGGCGCTCAGTTCACAGGGGCTGATGACCAGCATGCGGGACGAGTCCATGCCGTCCAGAGCCATCTCCGAGTCCAGACAGAAGCGAGACACCAGGTGCTCCAGGTGAGTGCCCGACTTCTGCCAGCGCTAAGGAACATACACAAGAGAGGGTTTCAGAGAGGACACAAGTACACACATCCTTTACTCAAGTGGAAGTACAGATACTCGTTTTTAAAAGTTCTCTGGTCAAAGATATTGATATCTTTTAGATTGATATCTGTTGTGTGCCACATTTTTGATAAAACCTCTTTACTAAGTTGAACCTGAATTACTGGGCTCATCCAGGATTTTTTTAACAACAAAACTAATCTGTAACTTTGCATGGGCAATCAGGGAGTCATGACATAAAAAACGCCTGTTTGAAAAACATTATGGTTTAAAGATAAAGAAAATCCTGGACTACTGAAATCAGGCTGTTCAAATCTCTGGAATATTTTGAACTGGTGTTTCTCATCATTCACCACTAGATGGAGCCCTCTCCTCACTTCTAGCTTAGATCCAGAGGTTTTTCTGTTCAAACACACACTCTGCATAGTGTGTGTGTGTGCGCGTGTGTGTGGCCTAGCATTACTATAGTTGTGGGGACCTAAATCTGTTTACACAGTCACGTGTGGGGACTCGCCTCCCTTATGGGGACAAAATGGAGGTCCCCATGAGTGGAGTCATTCATTTTAGGGTGAAGACTTGGTTAGGGTTAGGGTTAGGGTTAGGCATGTGTTGGTTATGGTTAAGGTTAGGATAAGTCTCCAGGAAATGCATGTAAGTCAATGTAATGTCCCCTGAAGTGATGTATACATGGTATGTGTGTGTGTGTGTGTGTGTGTGGTCTAGCATTACTATACTTGTGGGGACCTACATCTGTTTACATAGTCACGTGTGGGGACTGGCTTCCCTTATGGGGACAAATTGGAGGTCCCCATGAGGGGAATCATTAATTTTAGGGTGAAGATTTGGTTAGGTTTAGGATTAGGGTAAGGTTAAGGTTAAGGGTTAGGGTAAGGTTAAGGGTTAGGGTAAGGTTAAGGGTTAGGGTTAAATATGTGTTGGTTATGGTTAAGGTTAGGATAAGTCTCCAGGAAATGCATGTAAGTCAATGTAATGTCCCCTGAAGTGATGTATACATGGCATGTGTGTGTGTGTGTGTGTGTGTGTGTGTGTGTGTGTGTGTGTGTGTGTGTGTGTGTGTGTGTGTGTGTGTGTGTGTGTGTGTGTGTGTGTGTGTGTGTTTGAGTGCCTTTGAGTTTGCATGTGTGCATTATTCATAATTGGATTCTTTAGCTGGAAAACAAAGCGGCAGATATGATCAGACATGAAAAGAGTCTTTCATCCAGCGGAGAGAAAGAGAGAGAGACACACTTCTCTGAAGCGTATCGCTGTCATGTATCCTGATCTCAGAAGGCCTTGTAACAACACACACACACACGCACACACACGCGCACACACACACACACACACACACACACACACACACACACACACACACACACACACACACACACACACGCACACGCACGCACGCACACACACACACACACACACACACACACACACAGCTTTGTTCTGCAGAGTTGCATTGTGGGTCCTTGTCAAGATGACACGCTCATTAGAGTGTAGCAGGCCGCAGAGCTTTTTAATTGAAAAAAAAAAGGGTGGGATAATTAAAAGTAAATCAATTAGTATTCACCTCATTACTGCGGCATGCTGACGTCGGACTGCGAGAAAAACATCTGTCCTCACTTTCTCTCTCTCTCCTTTACTATATATACTTTATATTAACTTTCTAAATCCGGTTGTTCCTCTGCAGCGTGACAGCGGGGAGTTAAACTCCCAGAATGCACTGGGACTCACAGGGTAACAGACGGACTGACATCTCCTCCTTTGAGGCTCCTGCAGGTTAAAGTTTCATGACCACTTCTTGTCTTCCCTACTTCAACTCAACTCTACTTATTTATACAGAAACCTTTCATAGAAATGAAAAAGCTTCACTGAAAAAATCAAATGTAGGATTTTGTGAGATTAAAATGACATGCAGCTCAAAGTGCTTCGCAAGAAACATTAAATAAAAATAAAAATAATACATAAACAAATATTTTACGATTAGAAACGACAGTAAACATTTCGATAATCATAAAAATCTGTATAATAAAAAAAATGAATAAAAACGATATTAAGATTTTGCAAGATTAAGAATAAAGTGCTTCATAAAAATATATATATAAGTATTTTTAAGTAATTTATATTTTCTTGCAAGATAAAAAATGATGACAAAAACTTTAAAAAGTCATCATATTGATACAAAATGTATGTAAAAATCATATATATTTATAAAACGGACTAGTCAAATCAAGCAATCTGATTGGTTCTTAGCCGTGATATAATGAGCGTATATCACGGGTAGAATTGTAGTTACTTTTCACAACAAGTCAGTATCCCTCCGCGTCTGAGAAAAGCTACAGCTGTTACATTACGTCCGAAACTAACTAACTAACAAAGCTTAAGATGGAAGCATGTGAGGGATAATGTGCAGCAAGGACTTGACCGTTGCTAAGGACGCTCACATCTGCAGAAAGAAGTCCGGTCGATTTAACTGAATACAGTTGGGCTGAAAAGCAAACTGCATGCGTCGCGTCGGGCCGAACCACGCCCCTTAGCTGTGACATCATGACTACGGCCTGTCGTGAGCTATTGCTTAAATCACACGTGGTAACGCCCTGAAACTAAGGCTACGACATGACTCCAAAGGGAAAGACTGATTCAAAAGATTAATACTCTTTTTAAACTATAAGATGCTCAATGCTTCTAGTCACATCAACTCTCTCTATCCTTTAGTTAACCTCATCCCCCCCCCCCACCGTCTCTCTCAGCAGTGTGTGTGTGTGTGTGTGTGTGTGTGTGTGTATGTGTGTGTGTGTGTGTGTGTGTGTGTGTGTGTGCGTGTGTGTGCGTGCTGTAAGTCAATGTAACATCACCGTACCTGATATAAAATGTAGAAATGGCACAAACCGAATGTAACCTTTCCCAGCGATATAGCATCTGCCTAGTTATGCATGGGAGTGTGTGTGTGTGTGTAGCTCTCATTTAAAGTAACCTCAGCTCTTTTATCCTTCCTTCCTTCCTTGGTTCTGTCCTTTTCTCTTAGCTCCTTGTTGGCTTTTCTTTTTAGGGTATTTCTTTAAAGCCATAATTTCCATGCAGAATAAACAGCGAATCTTCAGCTTCTCTCTCTCTCTCTTCTCTCTCTCTCTCTTCTCTCTCTCTCTCCCTCCTCCTCTTCATCTTCCTCCTCCCTTTCTCCCCCTTTGTCTGTCTTGCTTCACCTTTCCACCTGTACCTCTCTCCTCTCTCTCTGTCTGTTGATTTATTGGTTGTCAGGTTGTTCTCCGCTGCAAGGGCTTCTGGGACGCCGTCAAGGTGCCTAGTGGTCAGGTAATGACAAGTGTGTGTGTGTGTGTGTATGTATGTGTGTGTGAAGAGTATTTCAAGCTGCCTGTCCAAAAAAGTGTCACGCATCTGCCCCTGCAGCGTGAATCTGTGTGTGTGTGTGTGTGTGTGTGTGTGTGTGTGTGTGTGTGTGTGTGTGTGTGTGTGTGTATGTGTGTGTGTGTGTGTGTGTGTGTGTGTGTGTGTGTGTGTGTGTGTGTGTGTGTGTGTGTGTGTGTGTGTGTGTGTGTGTGTGTGTGTGTGTGTGTGTGTGTGTGTGTGTGTGTGTGTGCAGACCTGCTTGCCGTCGGCCATGTTGCAGGGCAGCAGCAGCACCTGAGAGGCGGGGAAGGTGGTGGAGAGAGAGAGGCAGTGCTGCTGCTGTCGGATCTGCTGCCCGTGTGTGTACACCCACTCCTGAAGACACAAACACAAACAGGAAGTCAAAACAACATTTCATCATTTCAAATGTTGTTGTTTTTCTTTAAAAATGACATGTACTTATGACGGTTGGCTTCTGATCAGCTGTCATTCAGGGAGAAGGAAGAAATGTAGCAGAGAGAGAAGTAGCTTATTTATTTGTGCCATTATTTTACTTAAAGGTGGGGTAGGTCATTTTGGAGAAAACCAGCTCGAGTAGAATTAGAAAATACACAACCGGAGAAAATCTGCCCCTTCCTCACAGAGCCCCTCCTCCAACACACACGGACGCGCACATGACCAATGAGGGCACGAGATGAGTTAGTGCACAGATGGAAGGCTGACAGGCAGGTAGGCCATCCAGTTACTTTAGCCGGCTCAGATGATTGGTCGAGCTTTTTACAGCGACACGGCTTCAACTGATGATATTTTTATGGATTTGTTGTCAAAGCATTTAATGTATTCATTGCTATCGGGATGCTAAGAGCATTCCATGGAATATAACAAGTGTTTCTGAAGTGAATTACCTACCCCACCTTTAAGTATAATTTAAAAGCATTCATTTACCTAAAAAGTAGCCTACTCCTTATGCAGAATTGTCCTTTTCAGAATCATCTATATGCTTCTATTACATTATAAGTAATTTTATAATTTAATTGTAATCGTTGATTTGAACCGGGACAATGCACATTGATGTGTTTTTATGGATTTATTGTCAAAGCACTTAATGTATTAAGATATTCATTGCTATCGGGATGTTAAGAGCATTCCATGGAATATAACAAAGTGTATCTCGAGCCGGTTTCTCAAACGTACCTACCCCACCTTTAATTTGACTTTAAAATATGTTGAACACTTTAAAGAGTTTCCTATTTTACTCCTGCAGACTCAAACACACAAACAGGAAGTCAAAACAATGTTTCATCATTTCAGAGGTTGTTGTTGTATTTCTTCAAACATGACATTTGCTGATAACGGCTGGCTTCTATTGAGGTGTCATTCAGGGAGAAAGGAGACAAGTAGCTTATTTATTTGTTGGCACTATTTTACTCAAACAATATTTTGAACACTTGAAAGAGGCTCTATCTATTTCCCTGTAGTGTCTTCTATAGCTTTTAGTGCATGTAAATGGTCTGCAAAGGCTAAAATCCCTGTGTTTTCCATCCAGAGGGAGTTTCTCTCACACATAGCATGTACCTGTTACGCTAAGGGGCGGGACATCGCGTTTGACCAATCACACACACACACACACACACACACACACACACACACACACACACACACACACACACACACACACACACACACACACACACACACACACACACACACACACACACATGTCTCCATGAAGGTGCCACATATTTGAATTATTGTTGAATTAACAATGGCATATTCATTGTTTTGATTATAGTAATATTACATTAGAGATTAACACGCTGTTGCTAATGGTTATAGTCATTATTGTCTGTATTTGCAAAACAAATATGCAATAACATGAACTTTTGTATTTAATAGATTATTTTTATCATGTAATTCTTTGTTTTATTTGTCTTTCAATGTCGAAAATTTATAAAAAATGTGTAAAAATAAAGGTAATTTTGGTCCATCGTGATAAGTAATTTAATTTGAGGAACTAACCAACAATAAATAAATATTTGTTGTGTTTTATGCTGCTTTTAAACGGACAAATCATTGCTCATTGGCCTGTGTGAGGTAAAAGAGGGAGAGACAGTGGGGGGTCTTCTCAAAGCAGCGGTTTGATTTATGGAGTTGTATGTTGAATAACTCAACGCGGCGGGGTTTACTTCAGCATGTGATTGATTTATTGAACTGCAGCTCAGAGAATGACGGTGCAGGTTAATTGGTGCTGTCGCTCGATACGTCTCTCTGCAGGAACACAGGCTGAAGCACGAGGTGTGTCTTTGTTTGTTTCCTTAGTTTCAGATCTGGCATCAAAGAGGTTATTTTTTCAGCGTCAAACCAGCTGATTATCTGATTTATGGAGATTTACTTGATATAACATCAAGAGTGAATCAGAGCGTAGGCACATGTAGGTTATTGAGAGCTGCATTCAAATCTTATTTATATGGACCAATTACACGAGATCATTTGTGTCAGGGGTTTAAAGTTTCTAAAGATCAGTAAAAAATGTATGAGAGTGTAAAAAACACAATAAAATGACTTATGATGATTTAGTTAAGTGTCAAATAAAATATAATAAATACAAAATAAAAAGACAAGATAGGTGTATATCAGTATGTAGTGTCTCTACTTTAAAGAGTCCTCTCCTGCTGATGTTCAGGTGTATATCAGTATGTAGTGTCTCTACTTTAAAGAGTCCTCTCCTGCTGATGTTCAGGTGTATATCAGTATGTAGTGTCTCTACTTTAAAGAGTCCTCTCCTGCTGATGTTCAGGTGTATATCAGTATGTAGTGTCTCTACTTTAAAGAGTCCTCTCCTGCTGATGTTCAGGTGTATATCAGTGTGTAGTGTCTTCTACTTTAAAGAGTCCTCTCCTGCTGATGTTCAGGTGTATATCAGTATGTAGTGTCTCTACTTTAAAGAGTCCTCTCCTGCTGATGTTCAGGTGTATTATATCAGTATGTAGTGTCTCTACTTTAAAGAGTCCTCTCCTGCTGATGTTCAGGTGTATATCAGTATGTAGTGTCTCTACTTTAAAGAGTCCTCTCCTGCTGATGTTCAGGTGTATATCAGTATGTAGTGTCTCTACTTTAAAGAGTCCTCTCCTGCTGATGTTCAGGTGTATATCAGTATGTAGTGTCTCTACTTTAAAGAGTCCTCTCCTGCTGATGTTCAGGTGTATATCAGTATGTAGTGTCTCTACTTTAAAGAGTCCTCTCCTGCTGATGTTCAGGTGTATATCAGTATGTAGTGTCTCTACTTTAAAGAGTCCTCTCCTGCTGATGTTCAGGTGTATATCAGTATGTAGTGTCTCTACTTTAAAGAGTCCTCTCCTGCTGATGTTCAGGTGTATATCAGTATGTAGTGGCTCTACTTTAAAGAGTCCTCTCCTGCTGATGTTCAGGTGTATATCAGTATGTAGTGTCTCTACTTTAAAGAGTCCTCTCCTGCTGATGTTCAGGTGTATATCAGAATGTAGTGTCTCTACTTTAAAGAGTCCTCTCCTGCTGATGTTCAGGTGTATATCAGAATGTAGTGTCTCTACTTTAAAGAGTCCTCTCCTGCTGATGTTCAGGTGTATATCAGTACCTACACCCGGGTGTCAATAAGAGGCAAACCAAAGGAATTTAAAACATAGTAACAAGCCTATTAGATGCATTAAAATGGAGAATCCAGCTGTGTTTAAGCCTCTCTTCGGATTAATCAGAGTTATGGTCTGCAAGTTAACATTCTCAGTGGTTCTGTAGAAACACAAATCAGCAGAAATGTTTCCCGGATAAAATAAAAGGTTAAAAACAAAATTCACTTTGGCTCAGAGTAACACCTGCAGTCTTGTGCTGGAAGATGTGAGAGTAAGCTTTATTTCTCTCAAACAGTCGACTAAGCACGGACTCATTTTCATGCTCTCATTCAGAACCAGGCGTAGCTGCAGCTTCATGCTTTTGCTCTCATTACATTTGGAACAGATTGTGTTCAGAAAGACGTATTTTGCAGCTCAGTGGCTCGTATTTCATGCCCGGCACCTTCCTAGCTGTTATAGGCGGCTGTCAGCCTTGTGAGACTTGTAATGGAGCAAGTGTATATATATTTGAATCCTTTGACTGCCATTAAGAAGTCTGTTCTCTGCTAGTTTACAGATTGGTCTCCCTGCTATTGATGTCTCCCTCTGTGTGTGAGAGCTGGTGCAAAGTGGACTTGAAAGAAATCCTGTTGTTGTTTCTTAGGGACCAAACTATTTATGTTTTCAGTAAATATTTCAGATTACTTACACATGTCTGCCTCATAGTTCTCTCTATAAAGCTATATTAAGAGTATTTTGCATTTGTATGTTTTTGTCTGGGTTTGTCTGTTTATCTGCAGGTTTACAGAAAAAAATGTACTGACATGAGTTAATTAAACTTGGTCGAGGGCTGTTATAGAGGAACCAGGTACATTTGGGGAAGGGTCCTACAAGAAGGGAAGTCCACTACTAAGAATAAATAAAGCTTTCATAAAAGGGTCATTATGTCCATTTTCAGGAGTATATCAGTATGTAGAGTCTCTACTTTAAAGAGTTCTCTCCTGCTGATGTTCAGGTGTATATCAGTATGTAGTGTCTCTACTTTAAAGAGTCCTCTCCTGCTGATGTTCAGGTGTATATCAGTATGTAGTGTCTCTACTTTAAAGAGTCCTCTCCTGCTGATGTTCAGGTGTATATCAGTATGTGGTGTCTCTACTTTAAAGAGTCCTCTCCTGCTGATGTTCAGGTGTATATCAGTATGTAGTGTCTCTACTTTAAAGAGTCCTCTCCTGCTGATGTTCAGGTGTATATCAGTATGTAGTGTCTCTACTTTAAAGAGTCCTCTCCTGCTGGTGTTCAGGTGTATATCAGTATAGTGACTCTACTTTAAAGAGTCCTCTCCTGCTGATGTTCAGGTGTATATCAGTATGTAGTGTCTCTACTTTAAAGAGTCCTCTCCTGCTGATGTTCAGGTGTATATCAGTATGTGGTGTCTCTACTTTAAAGAGTCCTCTCCTGCTGATGTTCAGGTGTATATCAGTATGTAGTGTCTCTACTTTAAAGAGTCCTCTCCTGCTGATGTTCAGGTGTATATCAGTATGTGGTGTCTCTACTTTAAAGAGTCCTCTCCTGCTGATGTTCAGGTGTATATCAGTATGTAGTGTCTCTACTGGGACATGTCTCCATGAATATATATATCAGTATATACTAATGGGGAATATAAACTAACACTGGCTGTCAAGTAGGGGACATGGGGTCAAGGGTTTTGTTAGATTATACTCTGTTGCGTCAGAGATAGGAAGGTTAATATTAACATAACTACAAGGGGCCATTGGCAGGAAGCTTCAAACATGTCATTTTAAAGTCTGGTTGGATAGAAAACTCCCTGTTAGTATTTCTCACCAGTTCTGAGCTGTAAGACTCTAAGGGTGTGAGGAAATGAAAGTTTCTTTTAATGTGGATTTCTTTTAATTAGATCGGCTGAGTATATTTGCAAACACCAGGGGAGAGGGACTCTCTTCTCAAACTGACAGGAGAGGAAAATGAATAACAATTGTTGTATTGAAAAACAGTCCCACCTGGGAGTCTCACTTCAAACCCGACTTCTGAGCAAACAGAGCCTTCAGGGCTTCTCTACAGCAGCTGATAACACACACACACACACACACACACACACACACACACACACACACACACACACACACACACACACACACACACACACACACACACACACACACACACACACACACACACACACACACACACACACAGAATACTAAGACTCCTACGGGTATTAATTATGGCAGAGAAGAGAACAAAGGAAGCACACACACACACACACACACGCACACACACATACACACACACACACACACACACACACACACACACACACACACACACACACACACACAGTGTTTTCCCTGTGAGTTTGGGGATTTTAACCTGCTGCGACCCTCGAGCCTTCAGGCATTTTATCCTCTGACATTCCTCCACTCACTTTTAAGAGAATAATGAGACTCCTACGGGTATTAATTATGGCACACACTCTCCCCCCTAGGCCGAAAAATAACTTTTACTCTGTTACAAGAAAACGTTTTTTCAAGTAGTAAAGTATTGGACAATGTACTTAAAATACCAAAATTACAGTTAGGACTGGTTTTAAACCCCCTTTTAAACATCCTCATGGACTCTTCATTTTATGGAATTGTAATTATTGTTTTCTAACTGTATTTGTGTCATTATGTTTTGTACCCATTCATTGGTATTTTCCCATTTATCTTGTCATTTTATTATATTCTCAGATATGTTTGTTGACTTGTGAATCCCTCGGAGACAAACGTATTTTCAATCAATGATTGTTTTGTGATATTGGGCTATATAAATACATTTTAATTTGAATAGTAGAATCACCTGGTTGACGACGGGGACGCCCTCCTTCCCGCTGCAGGGGGCCAGCGTGAGGACGGGCAGATCCTGTTCCTCCAGCCTCTGAGACTCCAGGCAGTTCTGTCTCTGCCGGATGGACCCGGTCTGAGAGTCAGAGTCATCGGGGACCCTGAGGGACACCAAACACAACGTTTAGCTAATTATTTATCATTCCATTTACTTGTATATAGACTCTTCTTGCACTATTTCTATTTTATTTGTATTTACTTGTTAAAATATCACTCGTCACCGGCTTGAGTTTCAAAACAGTATATATGTGAGAGATTTGCTCCAGTTTCTGACTCTTACAACCTCAGATCCAGAGCCTGGATACGGGTCCAGGTTCCTGCCGTGCGGACTGAGGCTGGAAAAAGGAGTCTTTTTCATGATGGTCCTTATTCTTGGAATGACCTTCAATCACGCCTCAAACTGACGGCACTTGTCTCAATAGCATATTTTAAATTGAAGATGTCTGAGGTCCTTACCACCAGCTGCTCTTGCAGTAATAAGTAGTGCCTTTCTCACTGTCCCAATGTGCACAATGTAGTGACTGCTTTTTTGTCTTTCGTTTACTTAGTTGTGTTCTCTGTATTTAATATGTCTGTGTTATTATGTGTTATGTGTAACGTTGCTGCCTTCTTGACCAGGTCAGCATTGAAAATGAGATGTTATCTCAATGCTTTTTATCTGGTTAAATAAAGGTTAAATAGAAATGCACCCAAAGTGGAAGTGACAGCGTTTAGCAGATATATCGTCTTTATTTTAAAATACACTTCCAGCCTCTCTGAGATGAGACAGAAGACCCCAATCATCTCCCCCACGCTCTCATTAACCACATCCAGATATCACGGTGATTTATCAGCGTCTTTTAAAAACCAACGCGCCTGATTCACCTTTAACAAACCCGCCGCAGGCCACGCTTCTCTAAACTCATTACTCTTAGAAAGTTTCTCCTCTCAATCATCCTCTGATAAACTTTCTTTCTTGTTTAATTCCTCGGCCACGCTATAAAACTCGGGATTAAGCCCTGCGGCGTTAATTCAATCTGCTATCTCGCTGTGTTTTAATAACCCGGGAAAGGTTATTCTGCCTTTTAAGGGTCAGGTCCGGCTTCCCTTGAGAGGAAGCCTGCTAATTCCATTCTGGGGGATTAACACCAGCCTGCAGTGGATTAATGTGTGTGTTTAAGTGTGTGTGTGTGTGTGTGTGTGTGTGTGTGTGTGTGTGTGTGTGTGTGTGTGTGTGTGTGTGTGTGTGTGTGTGTGTGTATTAAAGTGTGTTTGAAAGAAAGGATGATGATGGTGCTTGTGTGTCTTAAAAATATTTGTATTGGCATGATTTACGCCTGTAATGACCATTTTGTGTATATGGAAGACTTACTGTGTTTATGAGTGTGTGTGTGTGTGTGTGTGTGTGTGTGTGTGTGTGTGTGTGTGTGTGTGTGTGTGTGTGTGTGTGTGTGTGTGTGTGTGTGTGTTTGGGCAGGACGGTCAGTGTGAGCAACTGGGGCCCCTGGGAGATCAACCAATCAGGACAGAGGCAGACATTTAACCTGTTAGGCCCTAAACCTGTTTTTCAGGTTTCAGGCTCGGAAATGACATTCCCAGAACAAATGACCATATCTTCCCTTATAAAAGGGTTAAATTAATAATCTTTTTTCTCAAAGTAATGATAAACCTGTGAGTTGGATGTAGAAAAGCCAGAATTAATATAGATGTTTCTTATTTTAAAGAAAATTCAGATTGAACATGGTAAAAAACTGTAAATTATAGTGTCCGTCCAAAAGATATGTTGTACTTATAGTGAAAACTAATCTCAGATGATGGGTTAGTAGAATAAAAGCTTTAGGAATCCAAAGTGCAACATATAATAAGTACCCTGTATCAAGATTGATGCAAAACAAGTGATATTTTACCTTTTTAGAGAGATTTAGCAAAAATAACCTCTTCTGGGGCCATTTGGGTGGATTTGACCTATCTCTGGCCCCCCTTCTTTGATTTTGACATGTGACATCTCTTCCTGGCCGTTAGAGCCAATAGAATCGAAGGGAAATCGTCCCATAGACTCTCATGTAAAAAAGCTGTCGTCTGCGCATGCAATCTTGTTGCAGAGCGTAGGAATATCCCTGCTCTGACTTCTAGAAACGGAAACGCAGTTGTATTGCTTATAGATTATCAGAACATTTCAAAGGGGACGCAGTCACATTGGATATTAACCTATGGATTAACTACAGCATCATTTTTTTTATCGTTTTAATGCCATTGAAGACCAGTTTAGACCAGACAAAGACGAAGGTAAGCCATGTTAGCGGTTGTGGCTACCTAGCGCCACATGTTTCGATGTACGTTTTTGTTGATAACGTCGCAAGTTTGTATCTTTCAGTGATGAGGTGGGCACCGTTAGATTCTGTGTCTTTACGATCATAAACGATGTGTTGGATGTGCACCTAGGATAAGTAATAAGGGAGCTAGAGTGATTTTCGGTGCAGTAATAGGTTAGCATTTTTCGCTCGGGGCTAATTCAGAAGCTCACTGTTAGCATTGTGTTTTTTTTGTGGAGAAAACAAATGAAAAATATCAGTTAAATTAGTTTTTTTTCCCGTTATATGGATATAAAATATTCATAGCTTATTAAATATTAAGGTTCCTTAGACGTTGTTTCCTGCAAATCACGTGATTTCGGCCCCGGAACCGGGTCCGTGGGGCTTAAGAGGTTTTAACACAAAGACACTAAATGAGGTGATAAAAAATAAGTATATAAAAAAAGCCTGTGTGTGTGTGTGTGTGTGTGTGTGAGAGGGCGGCTGTATGTTCACTGAGGACCTTAATGTTGACAGATTGAAAACAAAACAGGAAGTGCATTGTGCGCCACATTTGCAGACAACAACAAAAAA